CCCCCCCCCCGCAACAGCCTGTGCCCCCTGCCACACCTGGGGGCCACGGGGTGCTCACCTGAGCTTTGGTTTGGGGGTGCTGAGGACACTGTCATCATCCTCCAGGTCAGGGCCGCTGTCACTGGGGTTCTCCATGTCCAGCGTGTCATACAGAAGGTCCAGGTCCTCCTCCGCCTCGGGGACACGCTCTGCAGGGTCCTGCTCTGAGTCCAGGACCTACGATGACGTCAGACGTGTGAGCGCACGCACGAGGGGTGGGTGGGGGTCCCCTCGGCAGGACAGGTGGGAAAAGGACGCAGAGCCGCCGAGCACCCTTTGTCCAGCAAGTGCCAGAAGTCCAGCTGTGCCAGACGCTGGGGTGACCCCGGGGGCCTCCAGTCACGGGGTGCCGGCACGGCTGGGCCACTCCTCCCCCTGTGACTCAGGCTTCCACACAGAAGCGCGCAGCTGGCACAGGCCAGCACCACAGCCACACGGGAGATGTTCCCTCCCCAGGGCCTCCCTGGCCTCTCACTGTCCCCTCTCCTCCTCCTCAGGCACCCACTGAACCGACTTCTGTCCCGCGCGTTCATCCTCTTCCGGAACGTCAAGGAGGTGGAGCCACACGGAGAGCGGCCCTCTGCGGCCCTCTCGCTCGGCGCGGCGCGGTAAGACCCGTCTGCGCGCTGTGTCTGACCGCAGCGAGGCCCTGCCACCGCCCGCCCCGTCCGCGGTCTAGCCACCGCCAGGGGGTGGACATTCTGGGGTTTGCCGCTGTAGACGAAGCCTCTGTGACTGTTGAGTCTGCGTGGACGCGCCCGGGTCTCTCGTAGGTAAACGCCAAGAATGCCATCACTGGTGGAATCGCCTGGAAGAGGGCCTGCTGCACACCCCCGCCAGCGTCTCCCTGCTCCACTCAAAGCCGCAGCTGCCGGCGGGCGTCGCGTGGGGCTCGGTGAGGTTCTTGCTTGCGCCTCCGGGACGCCTCGTGATGCCGGGCACCTTCTCGTGGGTTTGCTGGCTGTTTATGTATCTTCTTCGGAGAAAACGTCTCGTCAGACCCTCTGATCAGCTGTTACGCTGGACGATTAATTTCTTACCCGTGTCGTCTTCGTATTTGGGGTTGTACGTCTTCCATCTTCCGGGTACTGGTCTCTTATGGGATCTACGATTTGTAAAACCCTTCCATCTCATGGCCACCATTTCATCTTCTGGAAGGTTGTTCGGAGCACATGAGTTTTATGTTTTGACGGGGTCTGACCCCTGGTTTTCTCTTTGGCTCCCGTGCTTCTGTGTCCTACCGCCAAGACCACTCCTCTGTTTTCTCCTAAGACTTCCACAGTGTAAGTTCTTATATTTAGGTCTTCGGTCCATTTTGAGTTGGTGTTTGTACATGGTGTGAGGTAAGGGTCCAGCTCCACCCTTCAGCACTTGGAATCTAGCGGTACCATCGCTATTTGCCGAAAAGCCTATTTCCCCCACATCGGGTGGTCTTGGCATCCTTGCCAGAAATCAATTGACCACAAATAGAAGGATTCAGGGCGCCTGGGCAGCTCAGTCAGTTAAGCGTCCGACTTCGGCTCAGGTCACGATCTCCTGGTCTGTGAGTTCGAGCCCCGCGTCAGGCTCTGTGCTGACAGCTAGGAGCCTGGAGCCTGCTTCAGATTCTGTGTCTCCCTCTCTATCTCTGCCCCTCCCCCACTCATGCTCTGTCCTTCTCTCGCTCAAAAATAAATAAATGTTAAAAAAAATTTAAATGGATTCACTTCCGGTCTCACTGATCATACGGTCTTGATTACCATACCTCTTCCTGAGTTTTGAAATTAGAAAGCTTCATTGCTTCAATTTCGTTCTTTTTAATGATCGCTTATTCTGTTTGTTCTGGGTCCCTTGCGTTTCCACTTTTAGGGCTAGCTGGTCTACCAACAGGCAGCTGGGGATTTGACAGGGACCCTCCCGAATCTGTGGAGTGATCTGGAGAACCCGATTCCAGTGCCTGCGTCGGAGAGCAGCTGACCTCCCGGAGCTTCATATGTGTGGACGGGTGGCCATCGCCCTCAGTTCTGTCACAACCACGTGTGCCAGTGACACCTGGGACACTTACTTACCTGCCACCCCTCCCGGGTAGATCCAGAACCTGTGGACTAGCTTTCCTCTGCCCACACGGAAGGTAAAACCAAAGCATTTTTCTTCTGGTTATAAAAGCGAGCAAACCCATCACCACACACTTGGGGTGGCAAACAGCCAAGAGAGGGAGCTCCAGTGCCACGGCGCGTCCATGGTGGGGGGCGGGTGTGTGGCGATGGGGCCCACAGAAGCTAGTCTCTGCTCAACTCCGCAAACCTGAAGCTGCTCTAAACATACAGTCGGCTTAGAACCAACAGGAAACACATGGTCACAGCCCGAATGACGTCCAGCCTCCCTCCTGGTCTGTTCCCTGGGTTGTGATTCGAGAGACACGTAGGCAGCTGCTGCTCGACCCCCGAGGTATCACGGGAGCCCAGGGGGCCACAGGACGGTCAGAGGCAGAGCCAGGATGTGGCCCGGGTGCCCCCAGAGCCCTTGCCTCATCAGGACACCCCACCGTGGGCCTGGGGGGCAGGCAGGATCTCACTCACCTCATCGGACACTTTAAACCTCCGCAGCAAGGCCACGACCTTCTGCTTGAAGTTTTGTTGCTGCAAGGCAAGTGGGACAGAATCAGAACCGAAGGGGGTGGGTTCCCCGCGAAGGACACAGCAGGCTGCCGGGGGCAGCCAGCAGGAGAGAGGCGCCTGGCGCACAGTCCGTACGGGCTCCCGCGAGCGCAGCTCTCGCCCGCCAACAGCGCTGACCCTTCGCAGGCATTAAGAACCACAGCCGCACCGGGCTTAGTAACAGACCCAGGAGGGGTGTGGGGAGGGCGTGTGCCGTCCCTATGGCTCTTCCCTCGGCCTCCTGTGGCTGGCCCCTTGCCATGGCACCGCCTCCCTCCCGTAGGACCCAGGGGTGGGCACGGGCTGGGCAGGGGGGGCAGCGAGGGCTGCGCAGAGACCCCAAGCTCCCTGCGTGCCCAGCGCTGCGCTGGGCCTCAGAGTCCGAGCTCTGGCTATGACTGAGGCAGCCACCCTCAAGGGGAGCCACGCTCCCCTGCACGGACACCCAGTGTAAACAGAGGCTCACGCAGGTGCTGTCGTGCCCCCAGCCGGGGCCTCCAGAGGAGGTGGGGAGGTGTCTGGGCTTGTGCCCCGTGGCCTTTTACCCCGTGACCACCCACCGTGCTGGGGGGGCCTCAGCCCACATGCAGCAGCGGCTTGGCTCCGGGAGCTCTCCCCGGGGTGGGCGTCCTGTGATGGGCCTCCACCTCCGTCTGGAGCTCCCCCCCACCCGCCTACAGGCCTGCCCAGGCCCCAGGGCCTATCTGTGCTGGGCGGGCCCAGAGGCTGAACAGAAACAAGGGACTGGCCTCACTCAGGGAAGGGGACAGCCTCCCAGCTCTGTTCCTCTGCTCTTGGAGTGGCCTGAGCAGGACGGGGGTGGCCCCGCCTCCTCCCCTGCCCCCCCAGGGCCAGGAGCCACGGGCACCCCCGGGGTGAGCTCTAGGACCCCCTGCCAGAGAATAGAGAACAATGGCCAGCGGCTCCTGGAGTCGTGGCCTGGGCCTCGGGGGAAGCCGGCAGAGCCAGATCAGGGGGACCTGGACGGCGCCCCACCT